CCATGTATGTCAAATTAATATCTTCTGATGGCCATGAATTTATTGTAAAAAGAGAACATGCATTAACATCAGGAACAATAAAGGCCATGTTGAGTGGACCAGGTCAATTTGCCGAAAATGAAACCAATGAGGTCAATTTTAGAGAGATCCCTTCACATGTGCTCTCGAAAGTGTGCATGTACTTTACCTACAAGGTCTGCTACACTAACAGCTCCACCGAGATTCCTGAATTCCCAATTGCACCCGAAATTGCGCTGGAACTTCTCATGGCTGCGAACTTCCTAGATTGTTAAATAAAATAAATTATAATAAACTGTTAAAAAAAAATCCCAGGATTTGGGCGGTAGAGGCAGAAGCATCAGGATTTCAAGGTAGCTGCAAGTGAGTTCGGGGCTAGCCTGAGCTACATGAGACTCTGCCTCAAAAACAAAAACAAAACCAACAGCAAAAAGAAAGGAACAAAAGAAGAACCTTCCTACTGGGCTATCAAGATGGCTCAGCAAATGAAGGTGCTTGCCACTAAATCTGACAACCCAAGTTGATTTTCGGGACCCACATGGTAGAAGGAAAGAATCAGCTCCTTCAAGGCATCCTCTTACCACTCTTGAGCACATGCATGTGTACACACAAGTACTTATAATTTTTTTAAAAGAACTCTCCTACCATGATGATGAGAAACTCTTATTTTTTTTTTTTTTTGAGACAGGGTTTCTCTGTGTAACAACCCTAATGTCCTGGAACTTGCTCTTGTAGACCAGGCTGGCCTCAAACTCACAGAGATCCACCTGCCTCTGCCTCCCAAGTGCTGGGATTAAAGGTGTGCACCCCCACCTCCCATCTGAGAAACTCTTAGTAAATAGTAGTGTGGTAATGGCTATTTTTGGTTCTCAATTTGACTTCATCTAGATTAACTAAAAGCCCAAAATGGAGGGCACACCTGTGAGGGAAGACACACCTTTAATCTAGATCTTTTGAGCTGGGTAAACCCACTTTTAATCTGAGCCACGCTTTCTGCTGAAGGTCTATATATGGACATGGAAGAGGGAAACTTTTGCTCATTGCCTGCTTGCTCTTGCCTGCCTAGGAAGTCTGCTCCTTTACTGGCATTAGAGCCTATCTCTGGGATTCCAGGCTATACTGAGTTGAGACATACACACTCAGCCTCATTGACTGAACAACTCCTGGATTCTGGGACTTTCTGTTCATAGCCAACCTTTGTTGGCTTATCTGGACCACAGCCTGTAACTCATTCTAACTCCCTTTCTATGTATATAGAGAGTCATTCTATAAATTCTGTTACTCTAGAGAACGCTATTACAAGCGCTTTTCTAAATGATCCCGAAAAGACAGAAGCTTCCAGAAACTGATTCAGCACTGTGTATCTCTATCACTCAGCCTGGCACACAGACCACGGTCACTAAATATTAAACAATGAATATACATGTTCAGAAGCATTGTCTTTATAAATAGGTGGTGGTGGCACACACCTTTTATCCCAGCACTTGGGAGGCAGAGGCAGATGGATCTCTGAGTTCAAAGTCAGTCTGATCTACAGAGCGAGTTCCAGGACAGCCAGGGATGTCTCAGTCCCTCCCCTCCATATATATATGAACTTTAATGTCTTGTGATTCACCTGTCTCCTATGAATACTTTTATTCCAGAAGTAATCATGACTCACACATTATGCCTAAGCATGAGGAAGAATAAAGAAATACCAGTATGATTAAGATGGCATCACAACATCAAAAAGATCCAGAGAGCAAAAAGCAACCATGACCTCTGGAAATTCAATAGCGATACTTTAGGAGAACACCAGAGAGTCTGATTTGGTTGTGGGGAAGAGTTCAGTCTGTGGAGAGAGGTCAGGTTTATAGGACAATCGAGATACTAGAGGCAGGGAGGCAGCAAATAAGAAACTGGGCTAGGAATGGCAGAGGTCATCTGCCCCCGAGGGTGGTGGCTGACTCCAGGAACCACCCTTCCGGTCCGGTCTGACTGGAAAGCGGAGTGTGTGGAAAGGAAAATGAGGCTGGGAGGGCAGGTTATAGCCAGTCCTCAGGTTTGGGGTTGTACACCTGAGGAACCATGCAGAGCCCCGCGTGCCGTGCAAATGAAAAGCAAGGCTTTAAAATATCCAGTTAGGGCAGAGAGGGTAGCTCATGGTAGCGTATGTGCTTGGCATCCTCGAATCTTTTTTTTTTAATTTTCAGCACCTAAATCTGTAAAGAAATAAAACTATCCCATCGATTACCATCTTTTGGCCCAGAACATTTATCCCCACCCCTATTCCTTTGCTTCTGGCTCTATCCCCTCAATAAAAACATGCTGTTTTTTTCTTCATCTTCAGTACTTTCTTACACACTCCCTAGCAGTTCCATTGTTATTATCAGAGCTAAGATTTCACAGGTACACAGTTTTGTTGTTGTTTTCTAAGTATTTGTCGTGCGTAGTGTGTAACGTATATGTATATGCATATGATGTGTGTCCAAGGGGAAACCAAAACTAAGTAGTGGTGCACGTGTGTAGATACCCAATGTTGGTATCGGGTGTCTTCCTTGATCCCTCTCCACCTTATATTTATTGAGGGGAGGTCTCTCCCTGAACCCAAACCTTGCCAATTCTGGCCAGTCTAGCTAGTCAGGTTTGCCCCAGAGATTCTGTCTCTGCTACCAGAGTACCAGGATCTACCATGCCTGCACCGTTTTTATTTTTATGGTGCTGGGAATCCAGTCCATGGCTTTATGCATGCGAGGCATAGGCTCTATCTCTTAGCTATTATGCCCCCGACCCCTGTCCCACTTTGACATGGGTCCCAGGGATCTGAACTCTGGTCCTCATCCTGGATGCCAAGTGCTTTATCCGCTTAGCTGTCTCCTCAGTCTAAAACATACTTAAATTTTTTTAAAGATTTACTTTTGTATGTGTGTTTTACCCAAATGTTTGTCCGGTGTCTATGGAAGCCAGATAAAATATTGGATCCCAATGGTACTGGTGTTACAGAAGGCTTTGAGCTGCGTTACAGGTGTTGGGGAATTTAAACTGGCTCCTATGGAAGAGCAACCAGAGCTCTTAACCCGAGCCAGCTCTCCAACAGCGACCCCCCCCCACATACTTCTGAATGGATGGCTTTAAAGTAGTCAGTCCTTGTTCTTCATAGAATACCTTTCCCAATCCTTCTCATCTTTTCTTCCTACCAATTTAAAACTGGCATCTCAAATCACCAATAACCCAATTTTTAAAAAGCCCGTGAAATCTGAAAATGACCTGACATACATAAATTCTATTGTTTCCTTACGGTACATGGGCAGCTCATAAAACACTCAGGATTTCAGGCCAGGTGGCAGCAATTGCTTGCCAAAGGCAAGTGGGTGTGGCCTCTGCAAGGGGAAGCATTCAGCAGTTACTGAGGGTAGCCAGATCTACGGTGATGGCTCAGGGGTCAAGGTGTTCTGTGTGTGGAAGAGATCGGCTATGAATCTCACATTCTCTGTGTAAGTGGAAAATTATTTCTCCCGCTGATAAAGACAACATAAATAGGGTTATGAATTTTTTTTTTCTTTTTTGGTAGATAGGTCTCATGTAGCCCAGGCTAGCCTTTACCTCTCTGGTGCTGGTGTGCACCATCATACCTGGTCTATATGATTTTTTTTTTTCCATTGCTCTTCCACCTCCTGTCTGCTGAGGCTCTCTTTTACACCCCTGGTACTTTACTAAGTATTATTTTTTTAAGGTTTATTTTGTGTAGGAGTGCTTTGCCTGTGTATATGTCTGTATACATGGTGTGCCTACTAAGTCCAGAAGAGGGAATCGGATCCCCTAACACTGGAGTTATGGATGGCTGTTAGTCACCATGTAGGTGCTGGGACCCGAACCTGGTCCTCTACAAGAGCAATGAATCCTGAGCTGTCTCTTCCCTCCAGCTCCTGACACTTACCTTAGAGAGACGTCTTGTTGGGAGCTGTGTGGCCTAATCTCAGACCAGCATGTGCCTACCTGTCTAACGGGTTGCGTCAGGGCAAGGCACCTGTGGAAATAGACTCTCACTTGGCAAGGACCAGTAGTCCACGGGACAGCGTAGGAATTTGCAAAATCCGTGCAGCTTGCAGACTCTTTTCTCTCTCTCTCTCTCTCTCTCTCTCGTTATATTTCTATTTCTTCGGGCAGTTCTTAGTTTTACTTTGTCAGTCACACCTGCAACAGCAGTAAGGGTCCCTGGAAATTCTGTGCTCTCCCCAGCATTTTCCCCTAAGATTCAACAGGGGACCTAATGCTTCTCAAATTTCTTATCTGGATATGAGAAGTACGACTCCCAACCCTGGGAACTTTTCAGGCTCAATGGAGACAGGTACATATGAGAACGCAACACTTGGAACATTAGCTATGTCTCACAGTATACATGCATACACAGAATATGGAAAAGGCCTCAGGAATACACATGGGGCCAACTGTTGAGAGTAAGTTCCCTGGACACCAAGCACAGAATCATTGGTAGGACCTGGTATGCTCCAAGACAAAGAAACTACAACATAAAATATGGAATGGACAGATCCATTTTTATACACAGGAGTTTATATTGGGGGAGAAGAATGGTATAGTGAGATGGGAAAAGAGGGCTTTGTTGAGGTTTGCCTTTTACGGAGATGTGGAGACATGAGACCCTCTTGTAGAAAAGGGAGCTGCATAAAAATATATCTTACAGACATGAAAGAATTGTCTGGGTTTGAATATTCCTTAAATTGTGATGTATCTCTTAAATTCAAAAATAGAAATCAATAATAAAGCTGTTTGTGTAACCCCGGTAAGAAAACCTCTGTCTAGGTATAAACAAAGTCGGCCTGAGCTACCCGGGACCACTTGAAGGTCAGAAGATTTCGTTGTGCCAATGCCCCTTTCCCACCTCAGAACCTGAGCCAAGGGTAGACCCCGGCAACTTCTTCTCTCACACAGGTGTTGTTACCTGTTCTCAGTGTGAGAATGCTCAGAAAACAAACCGATAGCAATAAAGTTCATAATAAATTTTATAAGGCAAATTTTTAAAACAGTTCTCATAAAAAAAATAAAATGACAAACCCCACAGAAATATTGAAATGATTGACTGAACCGTGAGTGCTCAGAAGGAAGGACTTCTGAAGGGGCTGAGGCTACCCCTCCTGCAAACACATCAGCTCGAGGCTCTCTCACAGATTTAACAGCCTCCTAACTTCATTTCATAAAAACAATGCAAACCATTCTAAGTCATTTAAAACAGAGCAAAGAATACAAGGAGATTAGCGAGAGGTCACATCCTCAGGGCAGTTTTGCAATACAAGGAACAAAACCAGCAGATTCAAAACCACACACATTCTGTATACTTGCATATTTATAGATGGAGACTTACCATCATATAAACTAACAAGCTAGGCCAGGAATGGCCAGGCATGCCTATAATTCCAACATTCCAACACTCATGAGGTCATAACTAGAGGTTCTTAAGTCTGAGGTCACCCTGCCTGGGCCGCATAGAGACACTGTCTCTTAAAAAAAAAAAAAAAAAAGCCAGCTATATTCATTCGTCAGGTGCATTAACTTCACTGTACTTCATATTTGTTTATACCTGGAATGAGGTTGAAGCAAGAAAAACAGAACTAGTGCAGGGATAAAAAATTAAAAATATTAATTACTGTGAAATATTATCAAATGAAAACCAACCCCGATTAACAAAACAAATTACAGATTAGATAAATAAGTTCTTTTTTTTCTTTAAACTAAAAATTTACACTATCAGAAGATCCTGATTAAAATAAACATAGAACGCTGGAGCAGGAAGTAAACTTGATCCGTTCGTCAGTTCTTCTCAGAGGTCTACTGGTCTGACTGCAGCCATACAAGTCCCTGGGCTCTCAGCGGAGTGTGACCAGCTCTTCTGAAGAGGTAGGATGAATGGCGACCGTGTTGTCAAAGTCGGCCTTGGTGGCCCCCATTTTCACTGCCACAGCGAAGCCCTGAAGCATTTCATCACAGCCAATCCCCTGCATGTGGATCCCAACCACCTGCGAGAAAACAGAAGTTATGAATGTCAGGTTTTTATTAGTTCCACAGTCAGGAGAGAAATCTGATAGCTCAGGGGCAGAAGACTAGGCTGGAAATGCCTGAGCCACTGCAACCTCTAGCACCAGCACCACCAGCAGCACCAGCAAAACCAGTCTAAAATCCTGCTATTTCCAATCTAAAGTCAGTGCAGATAAACCTATGAGGCCCTGTACAGCCCTGCTTCAGGGGCTCCCACCAGCGCACCCCAGGCATCTCTTCCTCCTGCTTCCCTCCTGTCCCATGTACTTCTCTTTGAACGTGATGTCTCTCTGTTTGATGAACTTCCTTTTCCCTCCTTATTTTTCTGACAGGATCTTGTTGTGTAGCCTAGGCTAGCCTCAAATGTCTGATCCTCCTGCCTCAGCCTCCTGAGTGGTCTACAGCATGGTCTGGCTTTCTTCTCTCCTTCCTAAGAGCTAAGGGCATTCACTAACCAGACAGCTACAGACCCGTCCCTTCCCAGTCACTAACCAGACAGCTACAGACCTGTCCCTTCCCA